GGCGGGACGCGTGCCCGCGGGCGGTGCGGGTCCCTGTGGGCGCGGCCCCTGCAGCTCTGCGGCCCCGGGCGGTGCTGCCGGGGTATCCGCAGACGAGTCTTCCCTTAGTGCCGCGGCCCTGGTGTGCAGCGGGAGCCTTTACGGCCCTTCCGCCGCCTGTGTCCCAGTGTGCAGTGGAAATCGTGCGTCGGAGGTGATTTTCCACCCGCGCTCCGCCGCGGTCTGCGGTCCCCGAGTGCTGGGCTCGCCCTGCCCGCGCCGCTCCCCTCCCGAGTCGGTCAGACCCCAGCGCAGTGGTTGGGTGAAGGAGCTGCTCGGGCCGCTCGCAGCGATCCGCAGAGCCATTTTACCGCACTCCATTTACCTGTCTAACCGTAGACTTGAACCGTGGCGGAATTCCGTGTAGGAACCCACGCACCAAGTTCAGAGTTGAATGTTAATGAGCGCGTTCCAGGTGTGACTGCGGACGCAGCCCTCGCAGCTCCCGCTCGCTGCTGCAGGTTCTTAGCGCCCGGGCACTGCGTTGGTGAAACAGTTGGTGCTGGTGCGCTTGCAGGGAAGTGTCTTTTGAATCAGGAAACTTTCTTGGCCAACTTGAAAAGCGTGAATGGGTACTGTGCGAAGCACGGTACTGAGATAAGGTCGGAAGTACAGTGCATTTCATCGCATTACCAATTTGAGAAGTTAAGGTAGGGTCTTCAGTGTTTTGAAATCATGTTACCATTTTAATCTTACAAACCACAAACGCAGAGAATGCTTGATTTGTAAGGGACCCTGGCAGTGTAATTGAATCCCTGTTAATTTTTAGAGAAAGGAAGAATCAAAAGCAATTTTCTGAAGAGGGTTGGCAGGAGTTAGGTAGAGCAGGTAGTGTTAATTAACTAAACACTTCACTAGGTAATTCAGGCCTTGCCCATGGGCATTCTTGCGGCAAACTTTGTTTCATGTTTTTGTATTTTCCTTTCAGATATTTTGTTTGTTTTGTTTTAGTGCTGAGAGTGAAATCTAAGGCCTCAGCCTGTTATTTACCACTGGTCTATATTCCCAGCTCTCTTGATCATGTTATCTTTTAAGGGTAATTATCACGTAAGCCCCACCCCCTTTCTTCCTTAAGTATTGTGGTCAGTATATTTTTCCCTTTAGATACAAATGACACAAGTTATTGATAATTAGGAAATATTTACATTCTATCAGTTGGAGTAGCGTGTTGCTTTCTAGTTTAGTTTGAGTTTAGAGATTTTCACTTGAAGAATCTGCCCCCTTCATAAGGGACTGTAGTGTACGTTACTGCCTGGTTGGTGTTTCAGAAGTCGTAGAGTTGTGTATATAACTCAGTTTGCAGGACGCATGTAGTCACGTGGTTCCAGCATCCCCCACATCGCTGTTTTTGTTCATTCTCCAGGATAGGAGCCCTGAAGTCCTGTGTGGGATGGAGTTAACTTTTGCATCTCTCCTAGAACAGTGTTGTGTTTCTTGTAGGCGTTTAGTAACCCTTGTTGCTCCTGTGCTGGTGGGTACTTCACGAACACTGGGCCACATTTTATTAATCTGCAAGTGCCCAGTGTCCAGTGCAGCGCGCACCCTGCACGTGCTTGTGGTCTTCCTGGTAGCAGAGTGCCACAGTCTTGAACCGTGATGTATTAAAGTTGAAACAGCACTTTGTCTTTTTTATGTTCAATTAGATACTCTGCTAGGCATAAGTCTAACATTAAAAAAGAACAGATATCAGATACGTTAGAAAACTTAGAAAAAATTAACATAAATTTCGTTCTCTAACATTTGTTAGTCACTGTAGCATTGGGAAAAGACGCGATTCAGTTCACCGAAGAACAATACAAAGTTTCTACTGAAGCAAACTAATAATTATGACTAGGGTGACCCTCTAATTTTTTTTTTTTTTCTTTTTTTTTTGATGTGTGTGTGGTACTGGGAACAGAACCTAGAGCCTTTGCACGGAGCTGTATTCCCACCCTTTATTTTGAGACAGAGTCTTACTAAGTCACTAAGTTGGCCAAGCTGGGCTCACTTGTGATCCTCTGTTGGTGTCCCAGAGTGGTAGGGTTACAGGCATGTGCTGCGTTTTAAGGCCTTGGTTTCATTTTATAAGGATTGGCTTTTTTGACATCTATTGCTTTGTAAGGAATATAACTTTTGGAGTTCAAACTGTTCTGGCCAGTTGTCCTGAAACGATATTTTGAACAGTTTTAAAATGATAATGTTGTGTTTCATGTTGGTGATAATTAAAAGATGAAACAATGGGTTTCCTTTTTCTGTTAGGCATATTCTTACTTTTTTCTTTAGTAGATTGCAATGTTGTGTTCATTTAAAAAAACTGAGGAAAATTTTCAAGATTTTTTTGGGGGGCAGGGGAGTAGGACCACTTCATCCTTTGAAGATTATTGCTAAACTTCAGGCCTAGCAAATGCAGGGCCAATTCCATAGTAATACCTATGCGAACATGTGGAGTTGTATAGATAATAGCCTTCACAGGGAGATCTTTGGAGTATGGTTTTTTTTTTTTTCCCTGCTGATACCATTATTGAAAACAAAAGTACAGTAAGGAAAGTAGGATGATGTTATATGAAGTGGTCATGTTACATTGCTGATTCTTAGGTCAGTCCTAGACTAGCTGGCGTACACCTGCCAGATATGTCTCTTTCGTCTTTCACCTAGACAAAAATACATTAACAGTCTCCCAGCTTCTACCCCAATTTCTTACAGTAGGAGTGATCTGGACTCATTCTGATGCTCTTGAGCATCTGCTGCTCGCAGAGGTATGGTGTCACACCACATCCTTGGCATATACTAAAGTTTGTCTGTGAGATTTTAATTTTAAACATATTTCTCATAAGTAATTATGCAAGAATATACCTTTAACAAAATATGTGTGAGGCATCTAGAGTATTTCAGTGTAGTTACAGGTGGGTTTCGGATACAGTTTCAGACTATTGTTATCTAGTCCTTTCTCCCACACTCGGTAGGACCACACTTGTTATTTAAATACATGATTTTTTTTGGAGTGCTTATTTTCAAAAGTATCCAGAGAAACAATTCCACAGTCCTTTAATAAGTGCTAAATAGTCCATAGATAAGGTTTCTCTGTGGTTGTTTTTTGTAATCCAGGTCTCTTGTGGAACTGGAACCTTGCCTTAAAAGTCTGCTTTAATCACTGTTCACAGCCTTGACCAGCTTCCTCCCGTGGCCCCTCCCCTTCTTCAAGGGGAGCTGTCTTGTCCACAGGTACGTGATAGAGGTTTTTCAGAAGCAAGACACTGTCCCTTACGTTCAGACTTATCAGACTGACTCCTTAAGATCCTGAGAGCATTTTGAGGGTGAAATTTCATTCAAATTTAGGACTCTAGGACAAGCTGGATGCATCTGGTCTGATTTAGAATACTTTGCCTACTGTCCCTTGGTTAGTTTCTTTGTCACCTTCTTAGTGGAGAAACATTTAATGGATGATCTTTGTCTAATTTCAGTGGTAGGTAATTATTTTAAAATAGTGTATTTGCTTTTCTGCTCTTCTCTTAGTTTTGAGTTTTCATTTGGTCAGGTGTCTGTTACGTGTTCCTGTAGCATGATAATTTCCTGTCTTTCCTTCTAGACTATGTGTACTCCAGGAATAGGACTGAATTTATCCTGATCTTTGTATTATTCTTAGCATTCACATAATGCTTGGCATATAGCTTATGACAACTATAGATTATATAATTTCATTCTAATAAGTTCTGTATTTGTGGGAAATCATTGTTCATAAAGAAACTCAGAATTCATTCAAGAATTTGAGACATGTTGTGGCCAGCATTAGTACTAGGGATTCTGTATATTTTAAAATATAAGCAAATCCACATAAAAATGGCTTCCTCAGTCATTTGGCAGGACATTTACTTAAGACAATGTATACAGATTTCACTATGTTGAATTATAAGGCATTGCACATTTTAGTTTTTCTCCAAGTTTTACGAATGTGTATATTATTTTATATTTCTTACACATAGAAGTTTTATGGCACTATAAAGAAGTGAGTTTAATGGCCCTATTTTTGTTCATTAGTAATTATATACTAAAGAGTAAATTCTCATTAAAAGGCCCTTAAATGCCTGCTCATAAAAGGAGAGACCTCTTTGATTTTGTTCTCCATACAATCTTACTTGTTATATTGAGGCAAGTCGTCAAAGTCTTTAGTAGTCTAAACCTTTAATTTGGTTTCAGAACAGTAGTCATGTATTGAACACCCAAATTACCATGTCTTTAACAAGTAATGCAAACACTTTGTATTAAAAAGGTAATGACCATAACTTTTTCTTGTGGAACTTCTTGTACTAATTTTTTAAAGAGGACTTTTGAATTAAATTTCCCGTGAAGGCCAAAATTTCATACTTAGTGATTGTGGAATATATGAGTATATATAGAGAGGAAGGGTGGTAATTTTTGTAGTGGTATTTTTAAGTGGACAGTTTACTAATTATGTTGAGGTAAACACTTTACAACTCTAAAAGGAAAACTTCAATTACAGTATCTGAATGAAATGAGGTACATGAAATTAATTCAGATAAGTGGGGGAGTTCTTAGTGTAAATGATGCATGTCATGGGACTTGACCTCAATCTTGATTTTTTTTTTTCTTTCTATATATCTGTCAACTGCTTTTACATTACTAGATTGTGATTCCTTTTGTCATGCTAGAATAATCGATGAGAGGAAGCAAAGTTGCTCTGTAGTTTTTCCCCCTTTGCCACAGAAGGAAGGATCCAGAGTGGTACTCTCGATAAGTTAATTGTGCATCTCTGCCCTGCACGGTCTGCTGCTTTAGGTGGTATACTACAGCCTTCCATTTTGTCACCTTCCTGTCAAAATGTGTGTGGGGACTCCTTGAGAATATGATTTGATTGAAATTAAAGCCACATTCCCCTGTTTAAACTCTAATTGTGTATACTTCCTGAAAGTTGAGTTTCAGCCTGTTATAAGGGTAAAAATTGAGCAGGATAGACCTTGATTCTTCCACCTTGACATCCTTGGAGTTTAACATTAAGCAGCTATCTTTGCAGGGTAAATTCTTAAAGTAGAAACAAACCTAAGGGCGTGATTCCTGACCTTTGTAGATGCCATCATGAAATGGAAATTTTTCTGGTTGGTGTTTAGGAGAAAGATTTCTGCTGAAGTTGACTAAGATTTCCTAGGCTCCTGTATTTGCAGGCTATTGTGTAATCTGTAGGGAGCCTGGGTAGCTGTGATGACTGGGTCTTCTAGGCTTTTTTTTTGTTTTTAAATGGAGGCAAGCTTGTTTCAGTCACCTAGAGGTTTGCTGACATCTTTATAAATGTAGATCTTTCTTTAACATAATTTATGGTTTCTTTACTTGAAGCACCTTAAAACCTGTCTATTTTTAGCATGCACCAGCTTTTCATCTCTTGATTTTAAAGATACA